AGAAATGCAGAATCTCAGGCCCCACCCAGACCTTCTGAACCAGAAGCTTCATTTAACAAGATTCCCCAGGGGATACATAAGCACCCCAGAGTTTGAGAAGCACTGTTTTGGGGGACCCTATCTACAAGCGAAAGTAAGTGGGAGCATCCTAAGCCTCCTCATGGGACAAGGAGCCTTTCCCCAGACCTTGATGGGGTGAAGAGGGTGGCAGTGGTGGGCTGACAGAAGGCGGTTGGAAGTGGGAGGGGCTTTTTGTCCTGGTTCAGAGCCAAAAACCTGCCAAGGAAGAGATGGGAGCTGCTGATTCCCAACCAGGAAGATAAAGACTAAAAAAAGAACCCAACACAGAAATGCGAGGCTTCTGAAGACTCCTGTGGAAAGGCTAAAAGCTCTGCCATCAGCTCTCTTCTATAGCCCCGGGTCAAGGAGCAGCCAGTGTAAATTTAGAAATGATGAGAAGGAGCCCTTCTTGATCTGGTGAAGAGACACTTCAGAGGAATCAGGAGGGACGAGGTCACCAGAGTCAGAGATTATTTAGAGATTATTTCTAGCAAGGGAGGGCCAAAGGGTTAGGAAGCCACCTACTCACACCACAGTGCAGAGGCACACTCACTTATTATCTGCCTGTGCCGCCTGAATTTAAATGGGAGAATGCTGTGGTCCCTCACTGCGGCCACAGCTTGGGGATAGTACCTAGAATTTACCCATTTGCTTGTAGGAAATTAGCTTATAGGAGACATATACTAAAATCCCAGCTCTGTTGCTTACCAGCTCTGTTACTATGGGCAAGTTACTTAACTTCCCTGAGCATCATTGACTTGTCTTTTGATTTTTAAAAAAATACATTTTTATACATTTTAGAGAGGAAGGGAGAGGGAGATAGAAACATAAATGATGAGAAAGAATCATTGATCAGCTGTCCCCTGTATGCCCCACACTGGGGACAGAGCTCAAAACTTGGGCTGGGAATCAAACCATGACCTCCTGGTTCATATGTCAGCACTCAACCACTGAGCCACGCTGGCGAGGCTGTCTCATCTTTTTTAAAGGGGAAGGAATAATGGATATATTTCACAGTTTAAATAAGCATGAAACAAGAAAGTTCTCATGGTGCTGAATATAATGTAAATGCATGTTTTAGCTTACATCCCTGTAGAAGCCACTCAACAAGTAAATACGACTCCCTCCCTCTTCTACCCCAGAGGAACTCAGTGGTTGTAGTACCCTGAGCACAGAGAGGCCTGATTTGGAATTGGATGTCTTCAGTGCAACGGAATCTTCTGAGGGGCCAGCCAGGAAGCTCAGCAATGTGTTCTCTAATCCCTTCTGGGCTGTTGGTGGGAAATCTCCTAGGAGCATCTCCCTAGCAGCACAGCCAGGTCTTAGCTGGGAATGCGGCAAGCTTTTTCACACCTCCTGCAGCAGACGGCTCAGAGCAGGCAGGGGCAGTCCCTGGAGCCTCAGAAACATTCCTGCCTCAAGGAACAGCTGCTCTGGATAAACTGACCCCATGACCATTTAGTAAGTACCACAGGGACCGAAAGAGCAATTGGGAATAGGAGAGACTTAGGGTCCAAAACCCTTAGCCTAAACCCATAAGTTAGATCCTGGCTTGCTGTTGGAGAGCTTTCCCATGGACTGAACCAATTAGCAGGCTGATAAACTAAGAGTATAGTTCAATAGCATTGGGATTCTGGCCTCTTGGTTTCACTGAGAATCCTTAGACATTCCATCACCATAGCTTTTAATTTTTTTTTTTTGTCCCTAATGAGTTATATTAGGGTCAAAGTAGATCAATTTCATGAAGCCTCAAGTGTGTTAGAAATTCACGATTAGTCACTCAGCAAGTCATTGTTGAGGGAAGGCTCCTCTATGCCAGGTACTAGGACTACAGAGGCAAATTTGAGACAAGTTTTCCATCCTCATGGCACTCATAGTCTAGTGTGGACAGAGAGACTATAAACAAGTAAGTTTATATACTAACTAGCTAACTTCAGCTGTGATTAGTGCACTGGAGGGACTGAGCAGGGGGACCATGGTGGAAAGTGACCCATGATGGAGAGGGGAGGAAAAAATTCCAAGGAGATAATGTGGCCATGGAAGGCCTCTCTGAGGAGATGATGTATATGTGGAGACTCAAAGGTTGAAGATAAGCATAGACCCAGACCAGGAGAACAGCAAAGATGATGCTCTAAGTGGGAAAGGTCTTGATTTAAGGAACAGAAAGGCCAAGGGGAGAATGTTATGAATGAAGCCAGAGAGGTCAATAGCACCTGTATCATACAAGATCCTAGGATGTTGTATTTATCTAATTGTGGTCTTCGATTGCATTTTTATTAGCTAATCTTTGTTGTTATGCAGGGAAGGATTTACAAATAGAGGGCAAAGGCAGGAGCCAAAAAATCTCTTAGGAGGCTAATGCAAAGTCCAAGGGAGAAGTAATGGTGTTTTGATCCAGGTCTTGATAGTGGAGGGAATGATTGTGGCAAATTAATAAATTAGGATTGGAAGAAGGAGCAGGGAGGGGAAGAGGGAAAGGAAGGAATTCAAGGTGATTCCAGGTTTGGGGCTTGAGCAATTTGATAGATGATGGTGCCATTGATGGAAATGGGGAAGAATAAGTTTAGAAAGACAACTCAAGACCTGGCTTGTGACTCCGATGGAATTTAAATATTCTTGGGCCTCCTTTGTGGCTTGAGCAGAACTGAGAACTTTCTCAGTTTTCAAGAGCTGCAAAAGATTTCTCTGGGCTTCAGGCAAGGTGACACCTTATGTTCAAACAGATGTGGTGCCTTCCCCAAGAATGATCTCATGAGGGCATCTCACACCTGCCTCCTCCACGCATAACACCCTCCAACAAGTGGTTCCAGCTAGCTAACCCAAATTCCTCTTGCCACTACCTAATGTCTGTCCTCATTTCCCTATCTTCTACAAAGTTGTTTGTGGCTTCTTGTATTCTGTTTATCTGGTCACTGAAAGCCATAAGAAGCATAAGTCAGGTTATGTTTTATAACATGTGATCTGTCTAGCCCAGAGCTTGTTGAGGACAAGGGCATAGGACCAGATTTTGGGAGATTATGAGAGTTGCTCTCCATCCTACCACCCTTCACGTTCCAAGCCCCTCAACCTATTTGGGATCTAGCATACTGCTTTAGCCAGTTTTTCTTAACCTAATTTCTATTTCCAGCCTGTACCATATCTTGGGTCAACAGTCTTATTTATTGATTTTCCCTTATTTTTTGACTTAATGGCTGAAAATGATAAGATCCCCTTATATATTACTCTCAAACCACCAACTAGGTCATGCTGCTCTTAGTAACCAGGGTTGCTAGTTATTAAACACTTTCTAGGGAAACATGCACCGTCAAGCACTTCCCATGCATGATCTCATTTAAGAGCACTATAGGTGGGTTCTAGTATTCCACTTTACAAATGAGACTTGGAGAGGTTTGGCAAACTGCCCAATGTTATCAGCTAATGAGAGGTGGGGGTTGGATGAGACCACAGGCGCCAGTCTCCACTCCCAATGCCATGCTAGAGGAAGGAAAGGCAAAGTGGTGTGGCCTTTTGGAGGTTGAACATTCACCTTCCAATGGTGGCCAGCCAGGTGTGTCTGTAGCCAGGGGTGGGTGCTTGCTAGCAAGTAAGGAGGTGATGAAGTCTTTGTTTTTGAAGCATTGGGCACTGGGGGCCAGGGTGAATTAGTAACTGTTGTTACATCCACTTCAGGAGCCATGAACTCACATCTGCTTCTGTTGGATTGACAGTGTGGACAAAGGAAGCTCTGTAGACACCCAGCTCTCAGGGTGATTTGAAAAAGAGCAGAGAGGTCGTCAGAATGTAAAGATATTCCTACTTCATAACAAAAAATAACAGGAGGATCTGAAGGCCTTAGTCTCCCCAACAAAAGCCAGGTCTCTAAGTCTGAAAGGGGGCATGCCCACAGGCAGCTGACAGGGTTTCTGCGTGATCCCATCCTTCCTATGGCTGAGGGAGATTCAGCATCCAGTAATATCTCACACCCCCGGGGCCAGGCCTAACCAGCTTGACTCAGGTCCAGTCCTGAAATATCCCTATCATTAAGCAAAGGTTGGAAGAGGCCTGGCCCAGGTCTGTCTTTGTTTTTTAAAGCTCGTAGTAATATAGAAAAAAAAAAATACAAAAAACAAAAACGAAACAGGGTTACTAAAATTGGTTTATATTTTTCAATGTTTAAATTAGCAAAATAACACCTTTTAATATAAAAACCAATATGATTGTGCTAGTCACAATATCACCGTAGGGTTTATAAGCTCATCACAATTCAGAGTACGCTGGAGTTAATGTGACCTGGTCCATGTTTCCCTGGGGCTGCAAAGCTCATTTGGAGAGAGCGAGCCTCGGTAGCTTCTGAGGCCCATTGTGGATTCCCAGGATGCGCAACTCAACCGAATGGAGCCTCCTGGGCTCCCTGTGACAGTCACTGCCCAGAGAAAGGAAGAAGTCCTGCTATTTTCCTGCAAGACTCCCACCGGCCAACTCCCCCTCCCCTTTTACTATAAAATAAAGCTTTCAGATCCACATCAGCTGGATAAGGCAGCAAGCATTTTGGGAGGACCTAAATGCCTAAGCCATTATATGTGTAGTATTTCATGGCTCTTGAACTGCCCTGGGATGTGTAAGCATTATTCAACCTGCTTGTGTACCAGTTAAAGTATTTGTCCAAGGTCACATAGCAAATCTAGGACCAGAACCCAGAACCTTTGACTGTAAAGCCTGTGAACTTTCCAGTCTTCATATCTGGTCATATCCTGAAGCCACAAGAAGCCCAAGAGGGGCCCAGTGAAGCAGGGAGGGGATTGGGTCAGCCCCTGTCCTTTGTGCCCTGTGGTGTTGGGGCAAACTTTGACCTTTCTGGACTTTTTCACTGTTTCCTTCTCTTCCTGTTTCTTCTTCTGCCTGGCTTGCCCTCCCTCCCCACTCTATCCCTTGCTTATGTTACTTATTTTTTCCATCCACAGCAAAACATTTCCCATCAAGGTAATTGATGGTGAGACGTATCAGAAAAACAAGAATTACTTCATTGAGATGATGGGCCCCCGCATGGTGGATATGAGTTTTCAGAAAGGTGTAGTACCCTGTCCTCCACACTAACGTTAACATTCTTCTCTCCTCTTTTGTTTCTTTCTTCCTCCAATCTGTTTGTCTCCTCTGCCCTTTTCTTTTACCTCTCTGGTTCCCTTCCCCTTGTTTCCTTTCTTGTTCTCTCTTTTTCTCTCTCCCTCTTCTCTCTTTGCTCCCAGCTGTTCCTAACATCTGCCAGCCTGTCACATGGTATCTGTAAGAGGGATGCTCAAGGGCCAGTGGTAATTTTTGTAAGATGGGAAAATGGATATTGGAAAAACTGAGAGAGAGAGAGAGAGAGAGAGAGAGAGAGAGAGAGAGAGAGAGAGAGAGAGAGAGAGAGAGCCACAGCCCTGAGAGTATGTGTATGAAGCTCCCTAATTCTCCTAAACGGCTTAATATACAGGAAAGAAAAAGACCAGATAGCACAGTGCCAGGCAGGACAGCAGCCCTTGGAAATTCGCCCAGGCTCTCAGCACGAATTTCCATGGGGCACTTATTCTCAGGGCTGAGCTTATAGTCCCTGGGCATTGAGAATCATTGTATTTAGATTTAGATTCTGTTTGTGGTTCTTCCCATTCCCCAGTGCAACCATCTTCTCTGCTACATCCCCTGCTGTCAAGGTGTGTTTCTCCCCCTGACCTTGATAGAGCTGAAAGCACAAGTTTGAGTTCCAGGTCTAGGTCAAAGACCTATTGGTAGTTCTCTGCTCTCCCTATAAGGAGCATCTAGATAAAGAGGCAGAGAGTTACAAGAGTGGGAAAGAGGATTCTGTTCTGAGTGGAAGCTTCACCAAGAAGTCAAAGAGTAGATGGAGCTTTTGCCTCCAACTTAAATGACCCATACACTCCAGGCCTCTAAGAGGGAAGCCCGAAAATTCTCTTCTGGAAAGATAACACTATGGTGGGGGAGCTGCTAGTATTTGCAGCAATACACCTTCCCTGGCAGAACTGTCAATCATATCCCTTCAGGCCATTCCCATGGTCATACAGCAGCCCGCTCCCATCACACAGCCGAGTCCCTGCAGTGGGACAGCAGGCTGGGCTCACATCTCGTAAACAGCCTAGGGTCTGGGGCCTAGGGAGAAGTTCCCAGAAAATGCTTCTTGACGATCAGTGAGTTTTGTCTTTTCCAGTAAGCAAGGTGTCCAAAAGAGTGCTAGAAAGGTGACCAAAAAGTGACTCACAACACACCCACACACACACACACACACACACACACACACACACACACATCAGCAAATCCTGTGCCTAACAAACCAACTCCGATCAGCCTACCTTTTCATACAAAGCAAAGATGAGCCTGCTTTTAAAATAGAGGAGGAGCCTCAGAGGCACTTAGGCTATTATTTATTTAGCACTTCTTTGCCCTTTAGTAAGCATTTAAGTCCAGAGAGAGAAGAAAAAAAAAAAAAGAAAAGAAAAAAAAAAGCATGGCTCACTGTTGAGACCTACCAACTCCACTTGGTTCCATGGAGGAGCCACACAGGGAGATCCAAACGCACACAGCAACTACATGATGATGGGCCCGTGCCAGTCTCATGCCAGTCTTCAGGGGAGAGGTATTTTCAAGAAAACTTTGATTCTCTGATGACTTGTTTTTAAAGGACACAGTGTATTGTTGATATTCCCAGAAATGAACAGAAACCCCCATCACCTTGTCCCTTGGATCCTTGGGATATAAAATGTGATGATTTACATAATTTTCTCCACACTTTCCCAGGAGTGCATCAGTATAAATAGTAAAGGAGTCCTATATCAGATAGTACTAAAACATCTTATGTTAGTTTCCACCATGGAAGCCCTGTGAGATAAAGAATGAGATCATAGAATTTCACCCTCCTTGCTTTCTCTCCTCTCTCTCTCTCTCTCTCTCTCTCTCTCTCTCTCTCTCTCTCTCTCTCTCTCTCTCTCTCTCTCTCATTTCCCTTCCTTATACTTTCCTTAAGAAATTTTCTTTATGAGGCTCACATAAGAAATGGATATATACACAAGGAATGGAAATAAGTTCCTGGCTAGGTACTGTTGACATATTTCCTGTAGTAGAAGGGGCCTGGGTCAGACCCAGTGGACCAGTAGTTTACCTGCTGCCCAAAGAAATGCCACTGTTACCATGTGACACCCAATGGAATGTGTTGCCCAACTCACTTGCTACTAACCATCAGCAGGATCTGAGATGACTCCTCCCTACCATCAACCCTTTCCCCCTTACCACTTCCTTCTGGATCCCTTTCATCTTTTTGCCCTCTTTGCCTCCTGGCTCTCTTTTCCTCTCATCCATAAGGACAACTATAACCAAGAAGACAAAAAAAGCTAAGACCATTTTTTAAAATATCAGAACAATCCAATCCACCTTAGTCTTATCAAAGCCACCGTGGTGGGACTGGGCTGCATGCCAAGAGTGATGGGAGATGATTTTAAAGGCTGTGATCCAAGTGACCAACCAATTTGACGACCCATTCGACACACACTCTCTCTCTTGTTGTCCCTACAGGAAAACCATAAGGGTTAAAATAATAGATGAGGAGGAATACGAAAGGCAAGAGAATTTCTTCATTGCCCTTGGTGAACCGAAAAGGATGGAACGTGGAATATCAGGTGTGAGATTCTTTAAAAAAAAAAAAAATAAGACAACAAAAAGAAAAAAACTTTTAAACAAACTGAAAAGCAACAACAAAAAAAGCAACTATATTTTTTCTCCCTGTTTTTTGTCCCTTTTCCTCCTTCCTCCTTTTGACCAACATACTTTTTTTTTTAATTCTTTTCCCTCCTATATTCTCGCTCTCACCCTGTTTCGGTATCATCTCTGCCTTCTCAGCCTAAGTTTATTTCCAAGTCCTCCTTTACCACCTTTTGGGCAACACTGCAGCCTCGGCTCCTCATTACCCTCATGAGTTACTTCCGCCTTGTGCTCCAATGATTTGATTACCACTGTCCTCTGCACTCTCCCCTGCAGCCCCCTGCCCACCCTCACACACACAATAACCTGTAAATGTGGGGATTCCTTGGTGGGTGGGGAGGAGAAGAAAAAAAATAAAGGAATGTGATGCAATGCATGCTGGTGCCCCTTCCCTGCCTTCTTCCCCTCCCACCCCTCACTCTCTAGCCTGGATTGAATGGGGGAGGGTCTGATGGGGGTCTGGAGCCCATGTTGCAATGATGCTTTGACCGTTTTCTGCTGCGTTCCCCAACCTCCGTTGAATGCTTGGCAGGTTTTTCACTTGCAGAGTGTCCCATAGGCCCCTCTGCCCTTCATGGAGGTAAGTGTTTTATCTGGCTATTTCACAGTTGGGTAAACAGTGGCATAAAAAAGTATGCCATTTGTCAGAGGCCACAGCTTCTGAGAACTCTCTGAGAGAGAGAGCTGGCTTCTGAGGTTGTAATCTGCAATCCTGAGCTATTCTTCCTCTCCTTGGCATTCCACCCCATCCCATTCTACCTCTGTTCCTAGTCCAAGGTAGGGTACTTGATTCAAGCTACTTTAGGATAAGACAATATTTAAAGCATAAAATTGAGAGTCTGCAAAGGGAAGGAAGTCTCCTTAGCCCTGGAGAAGGACTGATAATGAGCAGGCCCAGAGTACTGACTTTTCCAATTGGAGAAGGGACACTAAATGGTGAAGCTGGTGCTGATCCTTGAGAAACCGGTGTTGAATGAATGTTCACAGAAGGCTGCCTTTGCTTCATATCTGCAAATGAGCATATCACTCAGCTCCCAAGATAACCCGGATCCCACACCAGAGAAGTGGCCTCATCTCCTTCCTTCTGGACATGCTGCCTCTTGGAACACCTGCCAGGGTTCCATTCCTAAGGGATTGGTTATGTTGTAGCCACGGTAGAGGTAAGGAAAGATTTCTTCCCTTGAAGAAAATGATTGGAAGCCACTACTTGGAAAGTGTTGGGACAAATATGTATGGGAACGGGTAAGAGTACCCTTGGGAAATACCAAGAGGAGGACATTCTCACTCCCCTCCGAGACATATGCTGCTGGGAGTTTTGTGGAAGAATGAACAGACCCACCTGTTTGTCAGAAAGTGTGATGATTCTGCAGCTTCTTTGTATTTGTATCATAAATCCTTTCATCCAAGGACAGATCTAAGTGATTTGGCAACTAAACTTCCAAAGAACTATATTTCACTGACAGGTCTTCTTCTCAGACCCATAGGCTTGATCAGTTCTCATTGTCTCCTGTGGACTCCCTCTGCAGACTGGACCACTTCTATGCCCACACTGGTTTGGACTCGTCTGGTATTCTAGAAGCAGAAGCCTGCTCCATTTTCTATTACTCATTCTCTCCTTGGCCACTCAATAAGATGCTGCCATGATCATGACTGCCAAAGAGTGCTGGAAGAAAGAAAGAAAAGAAAAAAAACCTCTGGCTCCATTGCTTCCCAGATTATATTCCTGCCAATCCTCCAAATTCTGCCACTGAGAATATTCTCAGAAATTGCCTCAATACCTGCCCTACATCATTTCCACCTCTCTTGTGCATTTACTCTACATCCTCATGACTGGCTGGATGCAGAAATTACTAGCTTAATTAGTTTTCAAGTCCCAAGAACTTAGGTGTAAATGAAAGCAGCAAAAGGACCATATCTTTCCAGGGTAGCTGGAAAGAAGGCAGTGGCTCTGGACAAGACAAATAGGTTGGAAGTCTGTCTATAACTTTATTCCACCAGTAAAGAGGTTCTTCTTTTCTGCCTCCCCAACAAATTCCTACCAACAGCAGGAGAGACAGTTGGTCAAACACAAACACCTGTGGATTCCCTATGTCTGAGAACCCCTTTGTGTTGCACTAGATTCTCTGTCCAAGGGGATGTCAGTAAATCCCTGGTGGAGCCTAGACCTGGGGTGTGTGTGTGTGAGGGGGGGGTGTTGAGCATAGGTACAAAGATTTCATCTAGCCATCCATGTGATATACCCCAGTTCTTCCCAATGACCAAGATGCCAAGATGAAAGGTGCCAATAGAAAAGATGTCCCTTTCCTAGCTTCCTGTTCTATTGTCTATGGCAGTGGTAGGCAAACTCATTAGTCAACAGAGCCAAATATCAACAGTACAACGATTAAAATTTATTTTGAGAGCCAAATTTTTTAATCTTCTTCTAACGCCACTTTTTCAAAATAGACTCGCCCAGGCTGTGGTATTTTGTGGAAGAGCCACATTCAAGGTTTGCCGACCACTGGTCTATGGGTTAATTTTTGGTTTCTTCAGTTATTTCCATATTTTAGCATCAGACCATAAGGTGAAAGGTCATAAAGCTTGAGTATCTAGACTCAGAATCAAATGAAAATTCATCCTGATTTCTAGAATTCCCTGCTGTTCTTGGAGTGAGAAGTAGTACAGTGGAGATTGCTTTTCATTATCACTGCTGCATGGAAGAGTCTTAGGCATTCAGAGTAGCATAGTCTCTGCATGGTCAAAATGACAATTGCATTCTCAAAAAAGAAAAGTAAAGGACTGGATTTGAAATAGGAGATTGTATTCTTGGAAAACAAACCAGATTTCAGAGGTGAGGTTTAAAGTTTTGGATAAGCTGGGGGATGAGAAAAGGGAGGATGACTAGGAAACATCGTTGTCTTGGTATAGAGTAAGTATTGGGGTCTAGAATGGACTTCTGAGAGCAATGCTGAGTAGCACAGTCAAGGCTGTTGGGCCTGGGCCTGGACATGGAAAGTCTGAGTTGGGAAGAGAAAGCACTCCCCCACCCCCCAAATGGGGCCTGTTTGTGCCTCCTCTTACTACACTCACGAGTTCCCCATGACATGCTGCCCAGATGCTTCCAGTTACTCACAGAGCTGTGTTGTTTCCTGCTTGCCCCTGGGGTATCTGAGCAGGTGGATAAAGGACTGTCACCTGACCCCAGGAATCAATATAGATAAAAGTTTAGCTTCAGCATCTCTCAGCAACAACAGCAGGAGCAACACCTGGAGGGTATGGTGCCACTCAAAGCTGGAAGAAATGGAACTCACTGACCCATCTTTAACTGCTAGGTGGTAGGTCTCAGATTCATGTAGAGAATGAGCAGAGAATGATGGAATTGCAGCTGACTGCAAGCCATCTGGCTGTGCTAGGGATGATCCTGGTGTTGGGATGCATGTCAGACTGAAAAAGAGGGCAGCAGGAATCTTTAATAGGAGTTGTCCCTTGTCTGACCTACCAGGTGTGTGGATCTCCAGTCTCCACTGGAAATGGGGCCCAGGAGGGGCTCTTTCATGCAAATTTATAAGGAGAGCAGAATGAACTATCTATCTATCTATCTATCTATCTATCTATCTATCTATCTATCTACCTATCTATCATCTATAATCTCATTGTAGTAAGGAGATTCATTGATCCATTACCCCTTGGAATTCCATATGGTAGAAGACAGAAAAAGTCATTTGCTGTTCTCTCTGAATTTATATCATAAATATCCTGGATCCACGTGTCTTCAGGAACTGTGACTATAAGATGATGGGTCACAGGTCTGAGTTGTATTTCTAAAGAATTTTGGAACATAAAGGCCACCATCCAGAGATGTAACACCACAGGATTTATGAAAAAATATAATTGCCAAAGCATTTAGCAAATAGCAAACTTTTATTGAACAACTACTAGTTGCAGTGACCACCAGGCACAGGCGACCCAAAATGGGGGGAGTGCACTGCCCTGACTTCCAGGCTACATCTATTTTTAAAAACACACTCAAGAAAAACGTTCTGCAGGTCTTTCTCTCAGGGGAATTCGAAGTTCTGGCAAACACAGTAGCTATGAAGCCATCTGTGGCCGTGAAAATGTTATGAGCACTGGGAGGCTGAGCATGATCTAATTATGAGGTTAGGGATAGAAGACAAAAATGGGGCCTGGTTCCACTCTAGTACAACATTACTCAATGCCCTGAGCTCCTATTCAAGCCCCAGAGTCATATTCTCCACAGATGAGCCAGCTACTCTGGCATTCTGGATTCTCACTCCTTTCCAGAATGGATGTGATAACCTAATTCCTTAGGGCCAACATGTCTCTACTTCACCCACTTGGTCCCCCATCCTCACTCCTCTATCCCTTGACCCTCAGAGCTGCAGAGAAGGTGTGGGGAAACCTCTCATAACTGCAGGGCCCTGGTACTCAGCAGTCTCTCCAGCGGCTCCCGCCTCTTGTTGCTGCTGCTGCTGCGCATGCTCCAAGCGCTGCCTTTTGCATGTGGCTGCAGAGCTCTCACCTACTAAGCTCCCTGCTTTTTCTGCTGCTGCAACCACAAAGCCTGGGGATACTTTCAAGATGGGACCTTAATGCTCTTTCCTTTTCTCTCTCCCCCTTGTCTGGTATCCATTCGCAAACAGCGCTTCTGTTATCTCCAGGTAAGAGGTGCCTTGCCTCCCTCTCCTTTCTACTTCTTGCCAATGCCATTTATTCAGGTTAAGACTAATGTCCTTTGATTTATTTAATAGGAACTGTAAGCTCAAGTTAACCTGACAAGTTCTCCTAAAGGTCACAAGATTTATTTCCTCACTTGAAGTAATTGTAAAGAAATAGACAATGTCTCGAACACCATTTCTGTTGGAGTTCGAGGGGAAATGTCTAGGTTGGTCCTTTTTGGGACTAGGAAGAGATAGTGGATCATAGGCTTCTTCTGAGTCTTCATTTATCTGCCATCTCAGACCGTGAGGCAAGAGAGGAGGTGAGAAGTTAAAGCTGAATCTCCCAATAGGATCATGATGGCATTTGAAAGAAAATACTTTGATCTTTTGAGTGATCCAGGGAAAAAGAATCAGGAGCTGCTGTGAGATGGTGAAAAGCAATTTTTTAAGAATCTGGAATTTTACTGATCCTGGAGATCTTCCATGTTAGCACAGCTGAGGTTTAAATTGCTAGAACTTTGATTTATTTGCCACTGATACTTGAAGTCACATGTACTATGAACAGCAAGAAGAATTGAGATATAATGGAGGGTGGGGATAATTGTCTGGCTGGAAATAGAAATTTCGGAGATTCTCTTTTAGAGGGATTCTCATGCAGAATCTCGAGCCTGTCGGAGGACATACACCTACTTGGACAGAACCATGTGCTTGGATCAGTGGGGCCCAATGGTAAAGAGTTAGCTGTGAGAAGATAGGAAAGCGTGTCCATCTCATCCAGCGACACCATAGCTTGTGGTACAGGTGAAGTGAGCACTACGATTTGTCTCAATATATTTTGAGAGAACATTTTACATTTTATAAGTTCTTTGAACATATGAAAAATTCAGGGCATTTAAGAGGCAAAGCATCTTATAGAATTTATTGGTGTTCAAAGCCACCGGTTCGCTACTCCCTGGGTTTGAGAAAGGGGAAGTGTACGTAGTAAGGACATATGCCTCTTTGGAACCTTAAACAAAAAATGTAGGCAAACCCCTCCATTTTCACTCCCTGAAAAAACAATGACTCCAGCATCCTTGGCTTCTTGTTCCTTCTTCATACCAATAGGATAAGGACTATTTCCAACCCTATATTTTCCACTAATCTCCCAGGGTATTGATGTCTAGCACTGGGTGTTCCTTCCCCACCTCACTCAGCCTCTTGCCTGAGAAGATATTTGGGCTTCTTTGTTCTAACTTTTGCCTCCACTTCCCACAGGTCATACACACACACACACACACACACACACACACACACACACACACACACAAAAGACTGGGATTTAACTTAAGCTTCTTTATACTTTTAGCATATTTGCACAAACACGAATAGAAGCTTAAAAAGGAAAAGAAGGTATTACAGTATTTCCTAGATCTTTCAATCCAAACCTGCTAAACCTTTAATTTAGGAGCTGTTGGTTATACATTATATTCACTGGGAATTTTAAATCTTTGTTTGGATTTTCCTGGAAGGACAGGTGAGCATGACTAACAGTGTCTAGTGGTGAAAGACAGAGAGTAAATATGTTCATTCTGAGCTACTGCACCGAGTGCAGGGACCTGGGAGTGAGAGTACGGGTGGTGTCACCCCACTTCTTCCCGAGGATGTCTGTAGAGCATCCCTGGCAATTTATTCCTGTCAGGCCTGGCAAGCTCTTTGTTCTTCCAATATTTGCCCAATTTTCCATTCTATTCTCTCTCTCTCTACCTCCCTCTCTCTTCCTCTCTGCCTCTCTCTTTCCCCTCCTCCTTTTTCTATATTTGAGAGTTTATTTAGCCAGTCTGAATATCAACATCACTTGCCATTTATTCTCTTTACCTGAAATTTCTGAAGAGTCACATAAACAAGTGATCAGAATCACTATGATCTTTTAGGTTTGAGATTTATTACTCCAGAAATTAATTTGAACACAAGGAATGATTATTACAAAAATATAAAAAGGGGGGAATTATTATAAAACCAAGACACTAAGTGAGAGTTGATTTAAATGGAATATATATATCTGTGGCTGAGGGAGATACAAAGATAGAGGATTGGTTATTTGTCAAAGACATTTCTGCAGAAAAGCTAGATGGAAAAACTGACTATCACCACAGGGCAGACAGGGCAGTAGGTTGATCAATATTCTGCCAGGTGGATATAATGCTAGATTGATTGCTAGACATGGGGTTAGACAGGTACATTTATATGTCACTGGGGAGCTCATTATATTGGTATATACAGTAGTTCTTGTGGCACATATAAAGTCTGACATGGAGGAATTGGGGGGTGAGGGTGGGATAATATTGTCACTGCTAGAATAGTCATTGTTATGTGTTGCCAAAATCCACAGGTAGAGGAAAAGAGTACCCATACTTTTAAGGAATCTATGTCTTTTTCCGAAGGCTTTTTCTCAGAATGACTTGCAGTCTGGCTTCTAGGATTGCTAATTTTATAACCAGAACCCTAGATGTACCCAGATTTACCTTCAGAATTAACTATGGAGAGACTCATAATTAAAGAATTTAAAGAATCCAGGCTGCTAGAAGGTATCTGCTGACTTAGAAGTATACAGAGGAACACAGAACCTGGAGAAATAATTATTGCTGAAAGCCATCACCAGCACTAACATTAGGACAGCACCACGGACAGCTCCCAAGCATTTTGGAATTGCCTTCTGTGTTTGGTGCCAGAGCCCTGAGTAAAACAGCCAGCTCAGGAATCCTCTGTGCACTCTCTTACCATCTTCATTCAGGCTGACTGAGAAAATCCATACATAAAACGGGCTATTTGCTTGGTAACTTAGATCCTTGGCTTAGAGTCCACTCAGTGAATTTCTTTCCTTGCAACCTCAAGGGCTTGAGTCTAACCCCTCCCCAAGTCTCACCAATTCCCAAGACAGAGAAGATCTTCTTGGCCTCTGACCCATTTTGTCCTTGAAATTATCCAAAGACCAGAGGATTTCCCTGGGCTACTCACTATGTGGAGCAAAAGCATCTAAGGAACGGAACAAAAGAAGCAATTGCATGCAAGAATGTGGGCTTGGATGGGAAAATGTTTAAACAAGCTCTGAAAGAAACAAGCTGCCAAGACCAATTATCTAATTAAATGGAAATAAAAATATTCCATCTCTACTTCACTGTAATCCAGAACACAGGTCTTTGTGGTGAAGGGGTCTTAAAATGGACTTTCCAGCTGAAGTGGAAAAAATTTCTAACTCTCCCACATGAGAAGGGACCACTGGTAAATGAGTCAAGATGCTGAGGGACAAAGGAATACCTTCAGAGAAAGTAAAGAAAGATCTCTCTTTTGTTGTGTTTTTGAATAAATATTTGTGTTCCAAAAGAAGCATGTCTGCTTCCTGTTGGAAAACCATGAAGTTTTTGGGGGAAATCTTTCAAGTTTCTCATTGTGAGTATAATACCCATTTGTATGAAATGTAGATATTCCTGGAAACAGTCCTGATTTCTCCTTTATAAAGGGGACAGTGCCAAGAGTGCTGGAAGCCAATGTTACTATGAACCAGTGGACATTACCCTTGGATTAAATGTGCCTCTGACCTTCAAGGACTCTTACATGGAGTAGCTGAACAGTCAGGCACAACAGTTCAAAATTGTTAAAGGTCCAGAGATAAGCTCCTATCTCTCCCATATCTGACCAAACAACTTAGGGACTGACTTTCCTTGGAGGAATTTCTCAGAAGGTCAGGTTGCTCACTGAGGTATAAAATAGAAAGAAGTGTGCTTACGCCAGACCTGCAAGGAAGCCTTTGTTGGTCTGATGGTCATAAAGTGTCCAGTGCTTTATAGAAAGAGGCACCCAAAGTGCACAGAATCCCCATTCCCAAGAGCTAAATGCTTTTTGCCCACTGTCCAGGCCTACTACTCTTTAGTGTTAGATGTTTAAGAGAATGGAGAGTGTACTGAAGCTGCTCTGGTTTTGTTTTGTTGCAGAGGTGACAGACAGGAAGCTGACTCCGGAGGAAGAGGAAGCCAAGAGAATAGCAGAAATGGGAAAGCCAGTATTGGGTAAACACCCCAAACTAGAGGTCATCATTGAAGAGTCCTATGAATTCAAGGTCAGGCCATAGTGAAGTCAAATTGAGTAATAGACTGGTGGGAGGGAGACAACCCAGGGTTTTGATTCCATTTTACACTGAATTTGTGAACTTGTAGTGCTGACATTTTGTATCTGAAGAATATTATAAGGACACACAATATCTATCTATCTTACCTAATAATAGACAAACATGTGAATTGACCATACCTCCATTATGCCCACAGCCAATCAGCAGCGAGTATGCAAATTAACCCAACAAAGATGGCAGGTTAATTTGCATATGCAGGCCCAGAGCAGGCAGGGCAGGATGCCTGCTATGAGGGGTGAGGGGTGGGGGCAGAGGGAGCTACAAGAGCAGTGCTCTGGCCAGAAGTGGGGACTTGTCGGCTCCCAGGAGGCTGGGAGCAAAGCCAGGGGAAGGAAGGCCTATTCTTGCACAAATTTTCATGCAATGGGCCTCTAGTATGGAATAAATGGGCTCTAAAGCCTCTAGGTGTGTCATTGCTATGGCTTAACTGTATTTTTTAAAACAACGATACTAAAATTTACTACTCCAGAGCAAGGTTTATTGATATCATCACTATTGTTCTCCATTGTATTGCTCTAAATATCCAATGTCAGCAGTCACAGCCAAAGAAAAGAGAAATGGAAGAACTACACCAGTAGCTACCCCCCAAGGCCATTCCATGCGTAACTTACAGAATGCATAGAGCGCCCTGGGATGGAGGGCGCCTTTCATTCCCTTGAAACACCAGACTCCTCCGTGGTTCTGAGCATTCTAACCTCATGGTTCCAAGTTTGTATCTCCCTGACAGAAAACAGTGGACAAACTGATCAAGAAGACAAATATGGCCTTGGTCGTGGGGACCCATTCCTGGAGGGACCAATTCATGGAGGCCATCACTGTCAGTGCAGGTAAGAGGATCTCAGGATGGGCACAGGCCTTGCTTGGAGAAGCAGGTAACACCAGAGGAATAAAACAGCCACATCAACAGCCTGCCAATTTCTGGGAAGATCTATGCCTGGTCTTCCTAAGCTCTATCCCAGATGCTTGTCTTTTTCACTAGATCAGATTGACCAATGCGACCCCCCAGCTCGTTTCCATTGGGGAGCGATCATGGAACAACTAAAACAGCAGGGCTATCTCTGGCTCAAGACCTTGTTCTGCCATCCAAACTGGGATAAGTTGTCCTATCTGGGCCTCAATTTCTTTACCCAAAAAGGGAACTTTTGCTACCTTTCTCAGAAAAGTCAGCAGAAAGGTATCACTCTATGAGGATAATATCCACTTGTATGAAATGTAGCTATTTAGTCTGGTACTAACCACAAGCTCCATCAATTCTGGTTCTGCCATTTCTTCCTCTCATTAATTTGGTCCTCATTTTTGTAAAAAATGGACCCAAAGTTTTGTTCCAATTTTACCCCTGAATTGTGAACGGGATTTGGAGTTTTTGAAACATTTGCTTTCCCACTCTAACACATCTCCACCCTGGATAATCCCTCTCCTGCAGTATTTACTGATGGGTCCCCTCGGGGGGACCACAGTGTAGCCAGCATCCCAAAGGCCTGTTAATAGGATGCTAGGGCTCTCATCACCACCACCAATATAGCCTCTCAGCACCACTGAGCCCTCCTTGGACTGCCTTTTCTCTTTTCATGAGACTTTGTTGTCATAGCAAACCATGGGGTCCTATCCCAAGGCCCCAGAGCCACTGTAAAGCACAGCCAGGGAGGGAGGGGCTGCTGCTGTGGTGGCCGCTGGCCCACTTTCACCTGGCCTGCTTCTGAAGCTCCCAGTTCCCCCTCGGGTGACCTTACTTTGCCCCTAAAGAGACAGTACATGGAATCTAGGGCACACACTCTAACGCCCTCCCTTTTCAAAGGGAAAGGAAGTTCAGAAACAAGAGGTGACTTACTCCAGGTTACAGATTCTCTCCGTGGCAGAGTTGCAATTGGAACGCAAGTGTCCTGACTCCTGCTCTTTGGAAACCCGACTTCCACGGGTTGTGCCGAAGCATTACAGAGGTTGCCCTTGACGAGGTGCCAGCGTGCCTCAGCATATCCTCTGATCCCGGGCTGCTGAATGGGCAAGTCTGCCCACATTTCCTGGCAAGGACACGCGGAGCCCAGGCCCGCTCTGTCCCATGGGATGTTCAGAGGATGGCGCTGGCTCTCTGGTGCGCCCACATGATCTGGAATGACAGCCGTCCCCCTGGGGATGGTTAGCAACCAGAACCACGAGGTTATTGCAGTAGCCGTGTCAGGAAAATCCTAGAGGAGCCCCACTGGTGTCCAGTGGAGAGTGGGCACACTGCGGATGTCACCTAGACAACCAGTGTAGCCCGCTCCACCCGCCTCTCTCCTCCACTGCCTTGTCCCCCTTGTGTCCTGCCCTGCTAGTTCTTAATCTCTTTCCTCTCTTGCTCATTCCTCTGTGCCCTGCATTCACATTGACCAATGGGACACCCCAGCTCATTTCCCATTTCTCAGCTGTTTTGCAGTACCCACGCCCTGGCCCGCACAGGCTGCCCAGGAGAGCCCTAGAGCCTCCCCTCAGCTGACTGTGCTCATGATGGGGGTTAGACTTGACTTTCTCAAGAATGGGGCCTGACCTCACTGCCCTCTCCTGGGCCTGTTTGTCTTGCCTCCAGCTGGGGACGAGGAGGAGGATGAATCAGGCGAGGAGAAGCTGCCCTCCTGCTTTGACTACGTCATGCACTTCCTGACGGTCTTCTGGAAGGTGCTGTTTGCCTGCGTGCCCCCCACAGAGTACTGCAGTGGCTGGGCCTGCTTCTTCGTCTCCATCCTCATCATCGGTGTGCTCACAGCCATCATCGGGGACCTGGCCTCCCACTTTGGCTGCACCATCGGCCTCAAGGACTCGGTCACAGCTGTTGTTTTCGTGGCATTTGGCACCTCTGTGCCAGGTGAGAGTGCAGGGTGCTTGGGTCTGCAAAGAGGATGTCACTGGGCTCACATGACCTTTGCCTCATTATCTTCTTTACTATCTCAGATCTGAGCTTAACACACCCTCTGCCACTAAGGTGCACAGAGGTCAACCAGAGATTAATGATAACAATTCTAATGACAGCTAACATTTCTTGGGCACCTTGACATAACAGCAGGCACTACACAATTTATGTGTTTTGTCTTTGTAATGCTCACCACAATCTTATTCTATATGTAGCTATTATGCCCATTTGACAGATGAGGAAACCGAGGCCCACAGGGGTTAAATTATCTGCATAAGTGACCCAGTTTAGTAACTTCCACATTATATGAATAGATTGCAAACAATGTAATTCAAAGCATATTTCCCTTTGGCAGTCCCTGAAAGGCTAAAGACTAGCCTGCTTGAAGGTGTCACAATAGAAATTCCCACAAGCATTCTGCTAAGGACACCTGTGAGTACAAAGTGTCTTCCACCGGATTAGGCGAAGGAAGAAATTGCTGAGGACCAGAGGCAAAAAAGGAAGGTCATGGGCAAGCAAAGGCAAGACATTTTCTCTGGGAGCTCTGAGAAAAGTGGCAAGGAGGCCAGCCAGGACAGCAGCAGGGGAGTTGGGGCCACTTCCAAGTTCTTGCAGTTGTTCCAGGGAGCAGCTGGCAGTTTTAGGGGCTCGAAGGAGGTTGTGCCATGGTCTCCCCAGCTGATTCTGTGGCTTTGGCTGAAACGCTTTGGATGTAAAGTGATGGTATGCAAAGGGCCCTTGGGAGGCTTTTAGGGTCAAATCTCTTGCTGATTTCCCATTTGACTTTGGGTAGATTCCTTGACCCTTATTTTCCTTACTTATAAAATAAAAGGGTGGCTAGATAGTCCCTGACAGTCCCTCCCGGGTCTACACTCCATGGCCACATCTACATCAAACAGCCTGTGGGCCCTGTGCTAGACACCAGCTTCGAGGGCTCACCTGCACGTCCCTATTGCAGTTCCCCAGTGCGTCTTCTGTCCACACCTGCAGTGCTGAGCCCACGGGCACTGAGCAATAAGCTGTCTGTGTCATGTGAGCAAAACGCCCCAGGTGACAGTCATAGGCAGGCCTCTACTCTGAGCAGCTTCCCAGGATGTCAAGGTTCCCCAGGGAGGTATTATGGGATAACAAACTTCCCTTCCTGAAAAAATTAGTCAAAAGGGAACAGCAAACCCACTTGGTAAACAGCAGGACCAGAAAGGCCCTTAGAAACCTCTCAGACTCTGACAGGTGGGGAACAGGAAGCTCAGAGGAATAACGTGACTTGGCCAAGGCCACACAGCTTGCTAGTCGCAGAGCTGCCTCTGCTTCCCAGGCTCAGCCCGCCGGCCCGAGCTGCCCTTAGGACACACACAAAGGCAGCCCGCCTCGTCTCAGCCTTCCTCCAGCTCCCATCTGTCTCTGCCCTTTTCCAGATACCTTTGCCAGCAAAGCCGCCGCCATGCACGATATGTATGCAGACGCCTCCATTGGCAATGTCACTGGCAGCAACGCCGTCAACGTCTTCCTGGGCCTTGGCCTGGCCTGGTCCGTGGCCGCCATCTACTGGGCCATGCAGGGAGAGGAGTTCCGCGTGTCTGCGGGCACGCTGGCCTTCTTCGTCACCCTCTTCACCATCTTCGCGTTCGTCTGCATCAGCGTGCTCCTGTACCGCCGGCGGCCCCACCTGGGCGGGGAGCTGGGTGGCCCCCGGGGCTGCAAGCTGGCCACGACGGGGCTCTTTGTGACCCTGTGGCTCCTCTACATACTCTTTGCCTCGCTGGAGGCCTACTGTTACATCAAGGGGTTCTGAGCCACAGACACTGCCTCCGGCAGGGCAGGCCTATGATTTCTCTAGAGAGAAGGGTACCCCCCCCCCCAGGGACCTCCCGGGGATGAGCAGCCCTGGAGAGGTGGCTTCGGGACCCGAGCCCCAGGACCTCCACCGCGGCAGTGATCCGAAAGGGCAGAGTCTTCAGCAATCAGACAGAATGGGGGAAACACCCACACTACCAAGTATTTAATTCCGTACAAACCAACAACAGCAACAAATCCACCTCCACCCATTCGCCCCACCCCCACCCCCCGCCATGTCTCTGACCTGTAGCCAAGGTCAGATCCCTTCACCATCTTCTATTTCACCTTCTGACTCCTCCTGTGCTTCTACTGTCATCAGGGCAGGGCTCCTCCTATCTGTGCAATTTGATGCACCGCTGTCCTCACTCACCTGGCGGGTGGTGGAAATCAGTCTCAGCCCTGTGGCTGGTTTGGGGCTCTCTCCTCATTGGAATCATTATCATGGTTGCTTTCGTTTTTCCGTCAGGTTTTGCTCGTCATCCATTCATTTTGTCTTTTCTCTGACGTTCATGACAAAGGCGCTGGGCGCTGTGGAGGAACCCAAGGTTTGAGCCAGTGGGCAGAGGCGTGAATTGTCAGACACACACTCTCCCACTCTCAGCAGGTGACAGCTGCCTCTCAGCCCCCCTCGAGGCCCTGTCCCCCATCTCCTTTTCGTCTCTGGGACGAAGAGATCTTGCACACCCACGCAGGGCACCAGAGATCCTGGTGGGGTGGTGGCAGGAGATGGATGTCAAAGTTCAAAAGAAGCAGTCATTGTTCTCTTCCTTGCCCGGGCCTTTCAAATTCTGTCTCCTGCTGGCCATGTCTCCATGTTCTTTCTTCTGCAGGAAGGCCAGCCCAATGGAGACAAGGGACAGAAATAGGAGTGGTGTGGGATGGCAGAGGGCAGCTGGGGACAGAAAATGGGTTTTCACCTTCTTGAGTACTATTTTTGGCTTTGTATCTGAGCCAGGAGAGATGGGATGTCCCACTAGGGAGATACTTAAGGGCAAAGATATTTAAAATGCCAGTGCTTCTGAGAAAGGTCAGCTTCGCCCCACCCTTCACTGTCGTGCACCGTACTAAGCGGTCTGGCTGTATTTCTTGAGGTAATGCAAAACATTTTTAAGAAGGCAAGGGGTCCCTTTCACCTCTCCTGGACCCCTAGGCCAAGTTTGAAAGCATTTTCACAAGATGGGAGCTGGGATTTCTCCCTGTCTCCCACATTCCTGCTTGGTTTAAAACCTCCTAAAGCTCTTTTTTTAAGCCTGTGGGCTATTTCTTGTCCCGGTAGGAGGAATCTTAGTTGCCATAATCCCATGGAGCCCGAGTTTATAGAAAAAGAGATTGTCCTGCCCTCTAGAGCTTCTCCCAGCAAACTTTGAAAGGACCTGGCTTCACACACACACACACACACACACACACACAAAACTGCCCACAGATCTTCAGGCTTTCTGCATTGACATAAATACATTTTTAAGGGGGGAAAATAAAATAAAAAACCTGTTTAATTTTAAACACATTTTTTTAAGAAAAAGAAATAACTAAAAAGATACAGCGCTCATGTCATAAGCTATTGTTGACAGTTGCCAGTGGAAATGTTGGGTTGGTTTAAAAAAAAAAAAATAAAAGCTATACTTATATCTCTCTACAAACAGCTTGCTTCTCCCCATGTTTCTTCTGGAGCAGGTGTGCCGTCTTCTATTGTTATCTCCCATGTGTCTCTGTTGTCTCCTCAGATGCCAATGTACCAGGCCTGGTGTTTTTAAAGCGAAAAGAACCTCAGGGATATTCCACTTGTCAGAGTCCGGACTCCAGGTGCTGGAAGACATAAGCAGTGGAGTTGCGATGATGAAAGGGGAAGGAGCTTTTTGTATTAAAAAGGTGTGGAGGGGCAGGATCCCAGCGAGGCAAACAATGCCCTGTGTTCATTACCAGTAGGCCTACTCATTCATTTGATTGCTCAGCATTCATTCAACAAATGTATTTCTATGCATTGAACTCCATTCTGTTGATGCAGAAAGAGTAAGATAGAGTTCCCGACCTCAAGAATCTCGCAGTCCTGATGGGGAGGTAAAACTTCTTTTAACCAAGGCTCTTTTGGTTACAAGGAACTGAAACCCATTAAACCAGTTCAGGAAATGGAGGGAGGCAATATTGAGAAGGCCTATGGGGTGGGGCTCTACTACCCAAGGCAGGAGACATGGCAGGCCACAGGAGTCTGAAATCCTGTAGGGCCACTCGCTCCCTCCCCCAATGCACATCGTCTCCTCATCATTGCTTCCTTCTCCCTGTGGGCCTGGCCCCTCCCCTCCCAAGCTGCTTCTCTGCTTTGCTTGTCTTGCCCAAGGTCCAGCACAGCCACCAGCCCCAGTGCTCTATCATGACCTCACAGCCCAACGACCAACTGGAACATCCCAGTGAAGAGAATGTGGCCAATGCCCCACCTCCAAGGCCATTCCCAGGAAGCAGAATCCTTTGTAGAAGGCTGTGTCACAGTGGTTGGGGTGCCTGTGCACTGGTCCCTTTGGGTCAGGCATATGCTCCTGGTCTGAACAACTCAGGTTAGGGAGGATGGCGAGTGCACTGTATGTTCTAGTGCCCCTTCCCAGAGCTAAGTGATGGGAAGGAGCAATGGAGCATATGAGCCACCAAGGTGCAAAGGAGAGTTAGAGTTCTGTGTCAGGCATGATCTAGGGGCATAAGCAGAGCGCCATGGGGACACAACGGAAGGAAACACTTACCCAGCCTGGAACTGGGAAAGACTCCGAGGGGAAAGTAGGATCTTGAAGGAAGAACAGTGATTTGCCTTGGCAAGGGGGCTTGGTGTTGAAGGACAGACAAAAAAGGAAATTGCACAAAGGCATAAGGGGGGTGTGAAATGGGATTAAGAGTTAGCACGGCTAGGGTATGGAGCTCAACAGGACACAACCCAGCAAGGCGGGCAGGGAGGAGGGTTTGGGTAAAGGCTTGTTTGGCTTTTTGACACTCATTAAATTCAAAATGAAAAGTGTTCTTTAGCCAATGAAATGGTAGACGTAAAATCGTGAAATCCATTTGTACCCATATGTCCCCTTTTTGAGTCATTTTTGCAAGCAGGGAAGGAAGAGGGGAGGATGGAGGGAGAGAAAGGGAATAAGAAATTGAGTCACAATCATGGAGACTGCCATCATTTCTGGGTTATTCAGATGTTAGATTTCATCAAAAGAAGGTGGGGTGAACCATAGAGAATGGGAAATGGGGCTCAGAAGGGGAAGCGGGTACTAATCTAGATGCCACACTAACTAGTTCTCAGAGCCAGACTGGTGCCCTCCCTGGCCTGCTAGACCACGAGGCTTTGCTCCTGACATTGTTATTCCTTTAATGACATCCTTAGCTTCTCCTCAAGGAGTTATCTCTCCATAATACAACCCCTCATTGACACCTTTGTTTGAGATGGAATGTGCATCTCATGGTGCACATTTCACTCATTTCACTCCCTCAGCAAGTAGATTTTATTATACTTTTTCCTAAACGTCTCAAGTTTTAGATACTGATATGACACACTATTTATCATCACAGAACACATCCTCCTTCCACATTTAGTGCATTTGTTTGTTCATATATATCATGCCCCCCTTTAGTCTTGCATACCAAATTAAGTGCCATTATGAATACTAAGTGAAAGGTCTGGCTGTGCCACAAGCTAGGTGTCCGATCTGGAGAAGGTCACAACTTACCGAGGTACCGAGGTCCTGGACTGCATGAGGATTAGAGCAGGTGATTTTCCAGGCTCCTCAGCACCAAAGTTCACTGGTGATGCAGAGGAAGAGAAAGTGGAGGATGACTCACAGACATTGAGCCCCAAAGTTTGCATCAGGCACTGTGCCATGTACTTGACCCTGGTTGTCTCACTGAATCACCTTGGCCACCCTGTGAGAAAAGATCATTAGCCCCATTTTACAGATGAAGAAATTGAGACTCGGGGTAGATAGGTGATCCATCCACCATTCGAAACCAAACTAAACAAATGGTTCTCCCAGTATAGGCCCCAGATGAGCAACATCAACATCACCTGGGAACTTATCATAAATGCAGATTCCCAGGCCCCACCCAAGACTCTCCAGACTACTAGGGATAGGTCCCAGCAAACAGTGTTTAACAAGCCTTCCTGGTGAATCTGATGCATGCTCATGTGTGAAACCCCCTGTTTCAAATCATTATGCTCTACCATCTCTCTCTCTCTCTCTCTCTCTCTCTCTCTCTCTCTCTCTCTCTCTCCCTCTTTTCTTCCATATATATATATATATATTCATATTCATCTTACTACATGCTCAAATATACAGATATCAATACTGCTCTTTAAGCCTCAATATCTATTGCATATCCAATATTATCTTTAAATTAGTGGCCTGGTGCATGAAATTCATGCACATTAAAAGGGGATTAATTAGAAGAAATAATTTAATATTGCTATTTGCCCTTTCTCTATAATAGAAGTGTCAGAGATGAAAAAAATTAGTAAAATGTATATGAAAATCTTCCTCCTGTCAGAGTCTGGGGCGCACCATGGGAACCTGAGTCAAGTCCCCACCCACCCATGTGTGCCTCAAAATTGTGCGAGATCCAGACCCAACTGCCCCCCTCCCCACATTGGGCTAGATCCAGATCCAGTCAGTCCCATCCTTATCAAGCCCCACCAGGTGGGGGTAGGGGCGTGCAGCCTCAGTTCCCCTGGCCCAGCACTGGGGCAGGGGGCACAGCCTGAGGTCTCCTGTTAAGCCCCACCAAGTGGGGGCCACAGCCTGAGGTCCTTAGGCCCAGGGCAAGGGGAGCAGCCTGAGGTCCCCTGTCCCAGTACTGGAGCAGGGAATCACACCTTGAGGTCCCCCATCAAGCCATGCTGGGTGGGGGGCATGGCCTGAGGTCCCTGGCCTGGTGCCAAGGTGAGGATGCAGCCTGAGGACCCCTGTCAAGCCCCAGGGGGGGGGAGAGCACACAGCCTCAGGTCCCTGCTGATTGCCTGTTAAGGCTCATTACGGACACTTGGCCTCCACTGTGGGTGCAGCCATCTTGTGTTACGGAAAAAAAAAAAAAAAAAAAAAGACACCTGCCACCCCTCCCTCCCACTGTGGGTACCATCATATTTGTGGTGGAGTGATGGTCAATTTGCATATTCCCTCTTTATTATATAGGATGTGCTAATTGTATACTTCTTCCCATATATCGATAAATATCTCAGCCATTCTTTAAATGTTTTATGATAACTGCCCTCATTCAGGTTTGCAAGGTGTTCTAAGCCTTAAGATGGTTGCTCCAGTCTAGTAGAAGGAACAGACTTGAGAATTAATTATTACAACGTGGGTAGAAATATGTGTTAGGATGGTTGATGTATGGGCAGGCTGTTAGGAGCCTGAAGCAGCACCATAGATTCTAAAGCAACATATAATGAACAAAGAAGTTGGGGATTCTTTCTAAAAGGAAGTGACACTTGGACAGAGTTTCAACCATGAGCCACATGAATAATCATTGCTATTGTGGTCTGTTAGTTTTCATCTTAGTTCTTTATTTAAACATCAAAAAGAAAATATTTTTGACAACTCAAAGACTTTAGTTGACTGTTCCCCAATGACAAATTAAGAACAAGCCCTAATTCAAATTGGCACCATATTTCCTCCTTAGAGCACAGGGCTATAGCTGAGGTGAGATCAGGGCTGCTTGAGAACATTTGGTTGGAAGCACTGAGATGCAGACTGGGTGAGCCATATGCTGAAGGACCAGGCATCACCAGCTGGAGGCGGGAGACAGAGGAGGTACACACCCTGGGCTGGTTAGCAATGCTGAGAAGTAGCTGAGAGCAGAGAGTGGCTCAGTTGTGAAGATCTCAGTTCCTGTCCTGCTCTCCTTGTCCTGGCAGAGCCACCTTTACTATGTCACCTGAGGTGCTGAAGCCTTGTGTTTTTCACTCATTTACATAATTAAGATACTATTATCTACTAAATACGTGATACATCACATTACCTGGCTTTGTGATCATGTGTTATCATGGATGCTGCTGTTCTGGGAGGAAGTGTGAAATGTGAAGGCACTGAGAAGTGTGTGACACAGGAGGATATAATATGTGCACCTGGAAGAAGACACTCGATATGCAGGCAGCAGGTTTAGCTGGATGTGCACCACTGAAGCATGTAATGCCACAGCAATGAAATGTGTACATGTTGCAGGAAAGTGTGTCTGGAAGGAGTGGTTGAAGATCAGGATCAGATCAAGTTTAGTTTTGTGGGTTAAACTAAGCAATTGTATTCACCTGCTCAGGCTACCGTAACGAAGTAAGACAGACGGGGGTGGCTTAGACACAAGAAGTTTTATTTTCACAGTGTGGAAGCTAGACATTCACCATCAAGCTGCCATCAGGGTTGGTTTTTGGTTTGGCCTCTCTTCCTGGCTTGCAGATGGCCACCATCTCACTGTGCCTTGGCTCTGATGTCTCCTCCTCTTTTTATTATATAAGGATACCAGTCCTGTTGGTTCAGGGCCCCACCCTCATGACCTCATCTATATGATAAAAAGCCAGTGGCCATAATGCCAAAACACTGTAATGACCAAATGACTGGTCACCCATTGATGGGTCCCACGGCGGGGGGGGGGGGGGGGGGGGCGCGCACGGAGAAG